AGGTTCAATAACACTCCAAATATCATATAATTAAAAAGTGAAAGTGCACAAGGTTGTTCAATGGAGGAAACACATAGGATGTTGTTCACAGTATATCCAACAGGTGGCACACTTTCTTCAGCTGTGACTCCCATTTTCGCTTTTAATTTCCTTGCTGTTTGTTATTTTTTTCTGTTGACTTACTTTTCAATGCACATAGACAACTACAAATAAGCCATTTGTAAACTGGGGGCTGTTTCATAAAACAAGTTTACCAAACAAGCCAGGCTTATTTCAGTTATTCTGATTTATTTTGAACCAAATCAACTGACAATAAATCAGACTAACTGAAATAAACCTGGCTTATTTGGTAAACATTTTTTATGAAACAGGCCCCTGGTTTACTCAAAGAGTGTAAACACTGAGGCCCTGAGATGGTTGCAAAACATTGCTTTGTTTGTTGACTTGGAAAAAGTTCAACAATATACATCCATTTCATATTATTAGGAGCACTAAAATCTGTTACTGATAAATCATCTACTGTAATGTAATGAAATATTTGCAATTTATATGTTTCTTGTCAGAATACACAGTTTAGTTACTAGCAGGTGCTAGCCATCCTAACCAGCCAGTCAAACACTGCACCTTTAAACTCTGTAATGTAGCCTCATTATGAAACACTTTAAACTGCGTCTTATGCTAACTTGATTTCATATGTTCTCATAGGTTACACTTTCTGCCAAGTGTGTGCCAGAGACTACTGGTCTGAAGCAGAGAGTGAGACGTGTAAGAAGAGAGCCGAGCTGTACCTGCCGTGGGGCGCTCCGCTCACTACAGCCCTGCTCATATACCTGGGTGTGACCCTGTTTCTCACCCTTGGCACGGCTGTCATCTTCCTATTCAACCTCAGTACCCCTGTTGTGAAGTCGGCCGGAGGGAAGACATGTCTGCTAATGCTGGCGTCTCTGACTGTGGCCTCCTGCAGCACCCTGTGCCACTTCAACAGACCCTCCCACATCGGCTGCCTCCTCAAACAGCCACTCTTCATTATCAGCTTCACTGTGTGCCTGGCGTGTGTGACTGTGCGCTCTTTTCAGGTATATGGGGCTCTCTTTATTTCACTATTGTAGATGTGTTCAGGGCAGGACTCTTATCAAACATGATAAGTTTTGGGCAAATTGGACATTGTATGCAGTGTTACAACAACTTCCTGTTTCATGGCTTTAGCACTTAGTATGTGTTGCTAGCATATTTCTATCATGTTTAGCACACAATATTATATTTTACTATGTTGCTAGTAATAGTGCATCACAGTGTTAAACATGTCACTTCCTGTTGCCAGTAGGTGGCACTATTACTGTAACCGAATATGGTCTTCAGGCCAGGACTCTTATCAAACATGTGAAGTTTGGGGTAGATCAGACCTTGTATGGCTGAGTTACAACAACTTCTTTTTCCATGACGAAACATCGAACTTTGTCATTCCACTACGGACACGACCTTCAACAAAAACTCAAGATCTTCACAATTTAACGTCACAAAGGCCTTAAGATTACACTGACCAAGTTTAGTGTTGATCTGATCTACCGAATTTCATACATGTTTGTGAAATGTATAGCGGGAGGGGCACTTCGTTGAAAGTGTATAGGTGGCCCTACTGAGCCATTTTGCCACACCCACTTCTGAAACCTATATCTTCTGGCATGTGTGCAAAGTTTCATGAGTTTTTTAGCATGTTTAGGCCCTCAAAAATGTGATTAGTTTTGGAGAAGAAGAAGAATAAAACAGAGGAATTCCAAGAGGATGCTTGGGCCCTAATAAGAATAATCCTAAAGAAAACAATAGGGAAAATTAAATATCCAATATTTGCCAATAACCAATATGGTATGTCTGTATTGTCTGTGCATTCTTAATAAATAACATTCATCCTCGTCAGTTCTCATAATAGCATGAATCTCTCTCTTTTCAGGTGGTTTGTATATTTAAATGGTCCTCCAAGCTGCCAAGATCCTATGAGACCTGGGCTAAGAATCGAGGCCCTGAGATGTTCATCTTCATCACGACAGTGGTGGAGGTCTTCATCTCTCTTCTTCGCATGCTCCTCGACCCTCCCTTTCCATCTCGGGACTATGACTTCTACAGTGACAGCATTATTCTGGAGTGCAGTAAGACTCTGTCTCTCGGGGCCTTCGCTGAGCTCTTTTTTGTGTGTGTGTTGAGCTTAATTTGTTTCTGCCTGAGCTACATGGGAAAAGATCTGCCGGCCAATTATAATGAGGCCAAATGCATTACATTTAGTCTCATGATATATATGATTTCTTGGATCACGTTCTTCACAGCTTACTGCATTTCCAGAGGGAGCTTCGCCATGGCCCTAAACGTAGGCGCCATTCTATTTAGTGTGCTAGGAATACTCGGTGGCTACTTTTTGCCAAAGGTGTACATAATTTTGATAAAGCCCCAATTGAATACAGCAGCTCACTTCCAAAACTGCATTCAAATGTACACCATGTCCAAGCAGTGAAAGCAAATAAGACTTTCTACTGTCTCTCAACATTAGGATAATCCAGTAGAGCCTACTAACAATACAGAGCAACATAATCCTAGTTTCAGTCTTTTAGAAGCACCCGATACTCTAATTGTCTCTGGACTGTGACTGCTTGGCATATGCGTAGCCAGTGGGCAGAATGACAGAGAAAGCCTAATTGTGTTGACTACCGAAAGGGCAGAGCACCCGGTTCAGCTGTCCTGCGTGAACATCTGTCATGTGCTCCACTCTCATGGGTGCCCAGTTTCACGCTAAACAATTTGGAGAACAGATTTAATTGGGCAGCTGATTTAAATCATGATCTTGGTCTTGCAGATAAAAGGACAGATGGCTTCACTTGTACTGTTTGTCTTTAGTAAGTCTTTAAAGGAATAGTTCACCTGAAAATGAACATTTGTTGAAAAACCTATTCACCCTCAGGCCATCCAAGATGTAGATGAGTTTGTTTCTTCATCAGAACAGATTTGGAGAAATGTAGAATTACATCACTTGCTCACCAATGGATCCTCTGCAGTGAATGGGTGCCGTCAGAAGCTAATCAAAACATCACAATAATCCACAAGTAATCTACATGACTCCAGTCCATCAATTAATGTCTTGTAAAGTGAAAAACTACCTGTTTGTAATAAACAAATCCATTATTTTGGCACTTCTGGCCAAAATAATAAGTCCATAATTCATAATGGCGCTTGCTCCAGTGAAAAAGTCTGTCCACTGTTGTCCTCTCACGCCAAAATACACAGACATATTTGTTTAGAAATGTTTTGGACTGTTTTCGTCTGTAAACAGTGTTTGATTTGTGCATATTATCTGTTCCAATAAAGAAAGAAACGCATATACATCTTAGATGGCCTGAGGATGAGTAGGATTTCAACAAATGTTAATTTTTTGGGTGAAATACTTTTTTAATGCCCAAACAGCATTTGAGCTTTAAAGGGTTAATTCACCCAAAAATGAAAATCCTGTCATTAATTATACTCACCCTCATGTCATTCCAAACCCGTAAGACCTTCGTTCATCTTCGGAAAACAAATGAAGATATTTTTGTTGAAATCCGAGAGCTTTCTGACCCTGCATAGACAGCAATGCAACTGAAATGTTTTATGGTCCAGAAAGGTAGTAAGGACATCGATAAAATAGTCCATGTGATATCAGTGGTTCAACTGTAATTTTATGAAGCTACGAGAATACGAGTCATTAATGACAGAATTTTTCATTTTTCAACTAAACCTTTAATGGAGGAACATCTGACCAGCTGTACTTGAATAGTGACTTAGTAATAGTGTAGAATCTGAAATATTTCTCAAATACTTTTTATGCTATTTTGTTTCTTTGTTTTTTTTTCTCAAAATCCTAAAGTTTCCTGTTAATTACCAGATTTACATAAAATGTTAAATCCTGAATTTTCCATGTAGACGTTTGGACTCCACTTGTTGCGTGTCTAATTGTTCAGTGACACACACACTTGCATCAGCCCCTGGGAAAAGATAGGATGAAAGGCTTGCTGTTGTTAAGGAGGTCATCTCCACTGACTCCGGAACGTGTGAGTTGGGAGCACGGAAGTGTTTCCCACACTACTTTCCTATTGTGAGTGTAATATTCTCAGGAGGGGAGAACAATAGAAGTGTGCCTGTAGAGGGGAGGCTGTGTAATTGTATTTACTTGACGTTACCCATCTGTGCTGGTAGAAACCTCATATAGACATAGTCTAGATTTATTTGAGAGCTTAAAATTGAACAATTGTTTTTCAAATAAAACATTTGAATTGTATTTTTTTTAATGAATGCCATATGAAATTTGACTCTATTCCAGCAAAATAATAATACAAATAAATAAATGAAAAACAGTATTTCTCTGTCTGCCTCACAAAAACGGGCAAATTTGACGTGAAGTCATTTTGAATGTTTTAAGATTCTGTTTGTTTTATTTTTATATTTTATTATATACAATTCTGGAATACCTTATTTGACAGAACTGTATAATAAAATGATCACTTACAAGTAAAAATCAGTGGTTCACACAAATTGAGAGCTAGTTTTTAAACTTGTTAGCTCAGTTTACCTGCATTTAGTAGATCAGCCCACAAGTGATGTTTAATGTAGTTCCCTAACCGGTTCACATAACTTGCTTATAATGTCAACTCTGTGTTTTCATAGCTGATGTTTTTTTTTTCCTTTTCAAACTAACAAATCAAACTATTGCATATATTGTGCCAGTTTCTTAAGCAATTAAAAAACAGATCAGGTGTCTGTAACATGCAAACAGTGATTAAAACACCGAAAACCATGAATTGATAATGTAGAATTTTATTAACAGAAAATATTTGACATAAGAGCTCATTTTCAAAACATCATTGGTCAAGACAAGAAACTGGATCCTTTATCAAAGGTACAGCATCCCTTACCTACCAAACAATGGAGAATTCTCAGTGGAAACATAAAGATACTCTGAAAAACTTTTAAGTACAATTTCATTTTAAAGGTCTGATACATAAAACTCCACTGGAGTCAACCTCAATTAAATATGCACACATCAAAACAAAATGAAAAAATAAATATATATTCAAAAAACTATTTAAGTAATCACATATGTGGTAAAAAGCACATTATGAGCTATCAAAACAGAAGCAGCACATAAATCCACCTCTTTCTATTGACAAACACATGTTTGTCTAAAGTTTTGTCAATCAATATGATGACACAAATGTACACTTTGGAAATGAATCTCCTACTTTTATGAGAGACATTACTATGACTGTCCCTCAGTGTTTACAGTTCACAGCATCTCTACCAGGGTCTCCAGACGGGCCTCCTGCTGTCAGGCTGTTGCAAACCAGCCGTGCTCAGTTTAGAGGAAGGTGCCGGTGGAGCGGAGCCGATAGCAGCACTCACTCGCTGAGCGTTGTGGAGGTGCTGGAGCTCCCGGCCGGATCTTTCTCCGGTGGAATGAAGAGTGAGGAAGTGGACAGACTCCCTCCAGCAGTGAGAGTAGCCTTCATTATAGTCCCTCTGAGGAAACTGCTGCTGCTGTTTGAGAAAGCTGACAGTCATTTCCAGAATATCGGCCTTCTCCAGTTTGGCACTGGGGTCTTGACTGTGGAACTCCTTCTCCAGGAGACTCTTGAGCTGATCGATGCAGTTGTTGATGCGGTCTCTGCGCATCTTTTCAACAGCTGGCTTCCTCAGCTGAAAGCAAATGGGAACACTGATTAACACTGAACATGTTTCAAACTACATAAAAAATACAATTTTGGTGAAATACTTTGGAAGAACTGCATTGAAATGAAACATACCTTCATTTTGTCCTTATCACTGAAGTGAAGATGGTCAAAAGAGGAAAGCGTAACCAAATGAGGTGCCATGTCCAGGCTGGAACAGCTTGATTTTCTTCTGTGGCAAAAAGAGTTGTGAGTCTCTTTGAGGAGCAGACCCCTGTATTTATACAGCAGCATTAGCATTACAAAGCCATGTGGCCTGTGCTGTGTTACTGTTCCCACACTCTTGAGACCAGAGGGCCGGCTCATCACAACAATAGGGGATATTAATTTTATGGTTAACTGCCTGCTCGCCTTGCACTGAAGGAATGTTTCCCAAGGTATCAGAGGGACGCCACACTTGAAGGTTTAGTGAAGGAATTTGGCCCTTTAGCCAATTAGAAAAATTAGATTTAATTTCTGTATCAAAAAATGATGATGAATATAGGTTGTGCATGTTTTCAAATGGCATGTTTGGTAGAATACAAAAGATGAAAATAAAATATATTTGATGAACCGTGACAATGCTCGGTTGATGTCTGCGCATGCATCTAGTTCACACTTTGCGAAACCAAAATATAATGCAAAAATTCTCAACACCGCACAAACTGTTCAGAGATGAAAAATAATTTATGCACATACATTTTAATGAATTAAGCATATTTTATATATTGCAAAAATTCCAGATAGCACAAACTGTCCAGTGATTAAAAAGAATGCACACTGTAAGAAGTTATTTTTTCAAAGTTGTGAATAAAACAAGATTATTAGCGTACAAGAAAATTGTATACTTCTTCAAAATTTAACGTTTAATTTAATGTGTTACTTGATGCTCATTTATAATTAATTGTGAAATTTACAAGCAATTTTTGAGTGAAAATTGTTTCATTGTTCAGTTTTTATTTTTATTCATTCTTTTTTTTCAGTGTAATGACATGCATTTTTTTATGCAAAAATATATTTTATAAACTATAGGGTTAATTCATACCAAAATATGCTGCAAAAACTCTGGATAGCACAACTGTCCAGTGATGAAAAAGAATATATGCACATACAATTTTTATGCAATAATAAAGTATACTTTATATACCATGTATAGTTACCATGTATATGTTCCAGGAGCGTGACCAACATTTACGTGCTACAATGGCACGTGGTTAAAACTGCTACATCCCATCAAAGGCACGAGAGTCCCAGCTGGAAACACAGCCTCGAGTCCGTTCCCAGGCCAGGGATATTCCTTTGATAACTGTTAACAGCATGACTGTCATCTCTGCTTAAGTTAGGTGGCAAAGCAGTCGCGTCCACGTGCCAGATTACGGATGTTCTCATGTAGCTGTGGAACTACATCATATAAATTGTTATCTTCTAAAAATATTTATGAGGCAAATAATTCGATTTGTAACGTGTTTTGCTTTAGCTTATTTTATGCAAGGTGTCAGCACGCGCCAGGAGCTCATGCTCTGAGTTCAGTGCGGTTGATTGATTGATTGATTGATTGATTGCATGGCCAGCTGTAGCCGAAAGTTGATCAAAAGCCAAAAGGGTCAGAATTCTCCTACTACTAGACACAGACTAAATACAAGCACGTGAGTAAAGTGGCTTTACTGTGGCAATGAAGTTCAGTGCTTGGAAATCCCTCAGAACACCTTAAAACACACAGCACCACCTTTGTGTATCGTGGCAACATCTTTTTTATGTGGAAACAGCATTTATATTTTGTTCAGAAGACACCTTTTTTTCTTCTTCAGTTTCTATAGTCCATTTCGTCCGTATAAAATATTGTAGGTGATACATTCTAGTTATTCTTCGAGAGAAAACCAGCGATTTAATAGTTGATATTACTATTGTAGTTGTTGTTGTTAATATTTTTTATTATTTTATTTGTAAAATTTAAATTTTACATTTTTTGTGATTTTTTTTTGTCTTTTGTCGTTTTTTTTTAGTGACTCTTTATTCATTAGTTTAACTTTGAGTTAAAGAGAAAAGGAGAATTATTGCCTTTGCATAGCTGAAATTTAATTGACTTTTTTTGTTAACATATTTTCAAATTAAGGATTGTTTCAAGTATTTTTTTATTTTATTTTTATTATTATTTGCTTTTAGTTAATGATAATAAGCTTGGTGAAACAGCCTCTTTTTGTATTGTGATGGATAGCAAAGACTAGTGTTTATGCTGCATATATAGTGTGTGTTTGCTTGTATTTTACACACATAGGCTACTAAAATACTGTGAGTTTGTGTTTGAGGACATTCCCACCATCCTGGGTGTTTTAATCTGACAAGTGCAAACAATGCACTAATTGCTCCATTGAAAATGTTAATTGCATTAATTGTAAAACAAACGGTCCGTCTTAGTGTCACAAACAAACTTGGGAAATCAAGCTTGTGGTTATGCAATAGTGAGGAAGACAGACGTTTTAGCAAAGAAATCTAAATTGTATATATATATATTCTATATTCTCGACTATAGCAGATATGAAGTCTATTCTAAGTTTCAGTTGAGTTGGATATATGATTTTGTTCCTGTGATTACTCTATGCTCATCTACCTAAGCAACAGGCTTTAAGACATAATGTTTGTGTGGCATAAGGCACTGGGCTTTTACTGAAGATCCCATGAGTTCTGTATGAGAGGGCAGCCTTCCTTTCCCACAGTCTGTTCATTGACTGCCCACAGTAAGGAAACCAAAGAAGTGTGTCTTGTTACACATCACATTAGTCACGGTGTTTGAACTCTCTTTATTAGAGGGGGACCTAATACATAGCATAGCAAGACCGTCTGGACTTCAGGCACTGCTCAAACACTTTTAGGACTTTCCCAGTATTCAGCAAGAGTTTTTAAAATCAGTTCACTGCTAGAAAATCTTACTATTTAAAAATGTTCGAGTCAGGTGTTTGTTAGTTTGTTTATTGCATTTATTTGTTTATTTATTTATTCATATATATATATATATATATATATATATATATATATATATATATA